CAAGACTTCACTACACTGCACTACACTATGCTACTCTACACTACACTGCTCAACACTGCACTGCATTACACAACACTACACATGAGAGCACTACACATGACAATACTACACATGACAACACTACACACACAACACTACACATGACAACACTACACTAAACTATACTACATTACACTACACAACACTATGCAACATTGCACTACACAAGACAGCACTACACTACACAACACTACACATGACAACACTACACATGACAACACTATGCTACACTAAACTATACTACATTACACTAAACAACACTGTACAACATTGCACTACACAAGACAGCACTACACTACACTACAATATACAACACTACCCTACACTATTCTACACAACACTACACTACACTACATTATACAACACTACACTATACAATACTACACTACACAAGACAGCACTGCACTACTGCACTACACTACGTTATACAACACTACACTACAGTATACTACACTACACTACACTACATTATACAACACTACACTACACTGTACAACACTACACTACACATGACAGCACTACACAACACTGAACATTAAAATGGTATAAAATACCGACAGGTTGTTAGGTAAGACACATATGCAACAGTTAGGTATCTTTATTTCGAAACGTTTCGCCTACACAGTAGACTTCTTCAGTCGAGTACAGAAAAGTTGATAGAAGCAGAAGAGACTTGAAGACGATGTAATCAGTCCATCACCCTTAAAGTTTTGAGGTGGTCAGTCCCTCAGTCTGGAGAAGAGCATTGTTCTAAAGTCTGAAACAATATGGAGTTGAAGTGACAGGATGGAGCCTTATATAGCGCCAGGAGGTGAGACGTAGGTCACTAGAAGAGGTAGGAACGCAGATGTTGGGAGGTCAGGTCCCTCTCAAATCCAGCCGTTCTCACTAGTAGAGGTTGTCGAAGTTAATTGCAGGTCTGTACCAAGGTACCCTTGTGTTGCAGTGTCTGACAGATTGAACATTAAAATGGTATAAAATACCGACAGGTTGTTAGGTAAGACACATATGCAAGACACATAAGGGTGATGGACTGATTACATCGTCTTCAAGTCTCTTCTGCTTCTATCAACTTTTCTGTACTCGACTGAAGAAGCCGACTGTGTAGGCGAAACGTTTCGAAATAAAGTTACCTAACTGTTGCATATGTGTCTTACCTAACAACCTGTCGGTATTTTATACCATTTTAATGTTCAATCTGTCAGACACTGCAACACAAGGTTACCTTGGTACAGACCTACAATCAACTTCGACAACCTCTACTAGTGAGAACGGCTGGATTTGAGAGGGACATGACCTCCCAACATTTGCGTTCTTACCTCTTCTAGTGACCTACGTCTCACCTCCTGGCGCTATATAAGACTCCATCCTGTCACTTCAACTCCATATTGTTTCAGACTTTGGAACAATGCTCTTCTCCAGACTGACGGACTGACCACCTCAAAACTTTAAGGGTGATGGACTGATTACATCGTCTTCAAGTCTCTTCTGCTTCTATCAACTTTTCTGTACTCGACTGAAGAAGCCTACTGTGTAGGCGAAATGTTTCGAAATAAAGATACCTAACTGTTGCATATGTGTCTTACCTAACAACCTGTCGGTATTTTATACCATTTTAATGTTCAATCTGTCAGACACTGCAACACAAGGGTACCTTGCTACAGACCTGCAATCAACTTCGACAACCTCTACTAGTGAGAACGGCTGGATTTGAGAGGGCCCTACCCCAAAACATCTGCGTTCTTCCCTCTTCTAGTGACCTACGTCTCACCCCGGCGCTATATAAGCTCCATCCTGTCACTTAACTCCATATTTTTTCAGACTTTGGAACAATGCTCTTCCCAGACGGGGGATGACCCCCTCAAAACTTTAAGGGTGAGGACGATTACATCGTCTTCAACCCTTTCTGCTTCTATCAACTTTTTGTACTCCGATTGTGTAGGCAAAAAGTTTCGGAAAATAAAGAACCTAATGTTGCATATGTGTCTTACCAAACAACCTGTCGGTATTTTATCCAAATTTTAATGTTCAATCGTCAACACTGCACACAAGGGAACCTTGACAGACCGCAATCAACTTCGACAACCTCACTATGAGAACGCGGATTTGAGAGGGACCTGACCTCCCAACATCTTTCTTCCCTTTCTAGTGACCTACGCTCCCCTCCTGCGCTTTTTAAAAGGCTCCATCCTGTCATTTCAACTCCATATTTTTCAGATTTTGGGAAAACAAGCTCTTCTCCAGATGGGGGTGACCACCTCAAAACTTTAAGGGGTGTGGACTGTTTACTCGTCTTAAAGCTCTTCTGCTTCATCAACTTTTCTGTACTCAACGAAGAAGCCTAGTGTAGGAAAAACGTTTCAAAAAAAAGAACCTAACTTTTGCATATGTGTTTTACCAACAACCTGTCGTTTTTTTAACCCATTTTAATTTAAATTTTCCAACCTGCAACACAAGGGTACCTTGGAAACAGACCTGCAATCAATTTCGACAACCTTACTGTGAAACGGCGGGTTTTTGAGAGGGACCTACCCCCCAACACTGCGTTTTTTTCCCTTTAGTGACCTACGCTCCCCTCCTGGGCAAAAACTCCCCCCTGTCACTTCAACTCCTATTTTTCAGACTTTGGAACAATGCTTTTTCCCCAAAGGAGGGACTGACCCCCCTCAAAATTTTAAAGGGGGTGATGGACTGATTACTCGTCTTCAAGTCTCTTCTGTCAAATCAACTTTTCTGTACTGACTGAAGAAGCCTATTGTGGGCGAAACTTTTTTCAAATAAAGATACCTAACTGTTGCAATTCTTACCTAACAACCGTCGGTATTTATACCATTTTAATGTTCAATCTGTCAGACACGAACACAAGGGTACCTTGGTACAGCCTGCAATCAATTCGAAAACCCTTTATATGAGAAGGGCGGTTTTTTGGGGGGGGGCCTGACCTCCCAACACCGTTCTTATCTTCTTTTACCGTCTCACCTCCTCGCTATATAAGGCTCCACCTGTCATTTCAACTCCTATTGTTTCAGACTTTGGAACAATGCTCTTCTCCAGACTGAGGGACTGACCACCTCAAAACTTTAAGGGTGATGGACTGATTACATCGTCTTCAAGTCTCTTCTGCTTCTATCAACTTTTCTGTACTCGACTGAAGAAGCCTACTGTGTAGGCGAAACGTTTCGAAATAAAGATACCTAACTGTTGCATATGTGTCTTACCTAACACCCTGTCGGTATTTTATACCATTTTAATGTTCAATCTGTCAGACACTGCAACACAAGGGTACCTTGGTACAGACCTGCAATCAACTTCGACTACCTCTACTAGTGAGAACGGCTGGATTTGAGAGGGACCTGACCTCCCAACATCTGCGTTCTTACCTCTTCTAGTGACCTACGTCTCACCTCCTGGCGCTATATAAGGCTCCATCCTGTCACTTCAACTCCATATTGTTTCAGACTTTGGAACAATGCTCTTCTCCAGACTGAGGGACTGACCACCTCAAAACTTTAAGGGTGATGGACTGATTACATCGTCTTCAAGTCTCTTCTGCTTCTATCAACTTTTCTGTACTCGACTGAAGAAGCCTACTGTGTAGGCGAAACGTTTCGAAATAAAGATACCTAACTGTTGCATATGTGTCTTACCTAACAACACTACACTACACTACATTATGCAACACTACACTACACAACACTACACTACACATCACTACACTACACAACACTATACTACACAAGACAGCACTGCACTACACTACATTACACAACACTACACTACACTATACTACATTATACAACAATACACTGCACGACACCTCACTACACAAGATGCAGCACTCATTCTGAACCTAAAGAAAAAATATATTCAATTGTGTTTGATTATTAAATTATTGTAAACTTATGTACAATACATTTTGTTGGATTAGGCTAAATTAATTTGCACTTGCTATAATAAGGTTAGGTCAGCTTTCTAAGCTTCTTATGGTTGAAAATTATTAATTTTTACATTAGCATATATGAAAAAAATATCTTTAAATGTATATGAGATAGATGCCTATTGTCATACATATATAATGACAGATATACTTTTTGCTTTATAGACAAAAAACACATCTTTCTTGGTTAATTAACACTGGTATGCATTTCTTTTATGTACAGGGAGATATACAGTCTTGCTGGTGTATATACAGTGCATGTAGCTAATGTTCTGTAATCAGAGAATTGACCGAGTTTGGTGCTGTAATTTTGTATATGTGTTCACTGATTATTACAGAACTGTTTTTGTTCTTTTGCTATATGTATTGTAACATCGCAGTGTCCTGACCTTCGAAGGCGAGAATTCTCTCTTTCGGCTTTCTGAAAAGACAAATAAGTGTCTTCAATGTAAGTTAGGTTAGGTAAGATTCATTAGGAAACAGGACAAGTGTTTCCTGATGCAGGTGTTAGTCATATGATGCCCTGTTGCTGGAACTTTTGGTCGTCTGACCGAGACCTTCCACTAGCTTAAAGAACATTTTTGTTCAATTATTTTTCCAAATTCTTTCATGCGGCTTGTTCAGGTACATTTTCTAGCTGTTTGCTGTGATTGGGAGGCTTCTGGACAGATGGTGACAGACATTTGACGACAGACATTTCACCGAACGGACGAAATGGCGTTCATCACCTAACCTAACCCAACCTAATTTTCCGTTCGGTGAAATGTCCCATTTGGCTAAATGTTCATTGGTGAAATGTCTGTCGGTCATCTGTCCGGCCACAAACTGGGAAACTAACTGAATTAACAAAACTCTCATTACTATAACGATCAATTCTTTCACAATTTATATGAGGCAATTGTCTGTGCCTTAAAAGAAAGTGTATTTACCTGTTTTTTTTTTTCTATTTTATTTTTTGCCTAAAAAATATATTTACCATGTTTTTCTACTGCAAAAGAGAAAAAGAGAACAATTTATTTTGCAGGACCGCATCATGGTGTCTTTGACGTCTTTGTTGGTGTTGGCAACATTTTTCACCCAAACAAGCAACTCTATTCCCAAGACGACTTACCTTAAGCTCATTGACGTGTGGTTTGTGGCGCTCATCTCCGAAGATTTCATCATCATCGTATCCCTGGTATACATCGAAGTTCTACGCCTGAAGCTCCCTGCCTCCTCCACCCTCAAAGTAGCGCCTATGGACGCCTCATCCACTAAAAGACACTCTCTTTGGGTCCCGGCTCATACAGAGGCCTTTAAGATGAACAGCCTCTTACTCAAAATTTTTTTCGTCGCTACGAGTATTCTGTTTCTCAGTTTTGTTTCTTTGTTTGTCATTAGCACGAGCTCTCTCTAGAAAACTTACTAACAAGTATGGGACTGCCATTAAAAGGAACTGGATAGAATTTACTCAATGAATACTTCAATCTTGAAAAAAATACAGAAACTAGGAACAAATGAAACACAGAATTGAGCACTGAGTCAGAAATATTCGGTAGGACAGACATCAAAAGTGCACATTCCAACGATTAGACACACTAGAATGTTTGGAAAGTGAGAGTGTACTTGAGTTTTTCTTAGGGTCTCGTTGATATAAAACACCAGAAGTTATTTTCTATAAGAACATAGGAAAGGAGGATCACTGCAGCAGGCCTGTTGGCCCATACTAGGCAGGACCTTTACAATCCATCCACTAACAAAACATTTCCCCAACCTAATTTTCAATGCTACCAAAGAAATAAGCTCTGATAACTCTATCCACTCATTTTCAAGTCCCACTCAAATCCAATCCCTCTCACTCATATATTTATCCAATCTAAATTTTAAACTACCCAAAGTCCTAGCCTCAATAACCCAACTAGGTAGACTGTTCCACTCATCAACTACCCGATTTACAAACCAATACTTTCCTATGTTCTTTCTAAATCTAAACTTGTCTAATTTAAATCCATTACTGCGGGTTGTCTCTTGGAGAGGTATCCTCAAGAACTTATTAATATCCCCTTTATTAACTACTAGAGTCGTCTACGTTGTGGTCTACAACAATGTTCCTCTGTTGCACTGTCCACTGACTGCAAATTTAACATGAATTATAATTCGCTGTCAGCTTTAATTTATTGTAAACAAATTTCTCCAAAACCTAAGTAAATTGTAAGTTGTTGAAAACATATCTGGAGGCCCTCCAGCTGGCTTAGACCCCTGGGCTGCAGCCCATGTGACTCATACCTTAATCCAACCCTGCAAATAGTTGCTGCTGTGTTCTCGGATCTTGACTAATGCATCTTAAGCAAAGCAAATGTTTGAATTTTAATTGTGGTTAGCCTTGCAACAATAAATTTAATATTTCTTTAGCTTTTTTTCCTTATGAAAATATTGCTGGGGGTCTCTCAGTGCCTATAGCCCAGGGGTCTACAAAAAATAAATCTGGCTCTGACTGTATGGAGTCGCTTCAGATTAGGAAAAAATCGCTTCTTTAGGCTTTAAGGTCTGTCGACAAGATTCATATTTCCCAAACAAGGCATACTGGAAACTATAGAACATATGCACAGATTCACTTCTCTCACTTCTCTGCACAGTTTGCCCTCACAACGCACACTTTCTCGAACGTTTTCAACATTCACAGTGAACGGTATGTGTTGACACGTGATTACAAAATAACATCTCTGATTGCAGAATTTCCAGTGTCCAGTGTCATATTACTTGCTGCTAAATTAAGTAAATTTCGGGTTAAAATAATGCAACCAAACCTAAAACTTAATTAAACGTAAATAAATTTTAATAACTTAGGGAGAGTGGAGTAAATCACAGTGTAAAATCTTGCTGCAAGAGATTAAATCGTACAAAAACACAGGCATCTGAAAAAGAGGCCGAGAAGCGAAATCGTTGTTTGCAGTAAAAGGGATAAACAGAAATAAGAAAACTGGAAGACAATCTGGTTGTATGATGGCTTAAATAAGTTATCCCAGAATTGAGAGGAAACGTCCGCTTTTTACAATAGAAATATTATTGGCTACAAGCAGTTACTAAGACACGAAGAGTTAGAATACACATAAGGCACAAGAAATAATCCTTAATAACGTTGAATAAGGAAGCATTATAAAAAACACAAAATAAACAGTAATAAATTGAAAATAAAAATAATTGTAAAATACAAGAAATAAGCAGTAATACGGTACATGAAAAAACAGAAATATGGTACAAAAAACATGGAACAAAGAAAAAGAAGTAATAATTAAAACCAATAAACAGTAATAAGGAACAAAACAGCAACAATGAGATAAATCAGTATCACTAATTCTGAAGAAATAATAATAAGATAAGAATTAAGGACGGAATTAAAACAACAAATCAGACAGCTATAATATTAATAATAATAATAATAATAATAATAATAATAATAATAATAATAATATATTATAATTATTATTAATATTATTAATATTATTATTATTATTATTATTATTATTACGTATTTTTATTATTATTAAAGTAAGAGTGAGGCATTTACAGTTGTGTGAATGTTAATTGAGACAGGGATGAAATAAGACATTTGTTTGGAAAATTAAAGTTTGACAAATACAAGGTAATGATTTGACAGATATAATTTATTTAATAAGAGATATGACTATACTTTGCTTTTATAAGCATTGCTTTCACGCTTTGTCATAAAATCGAGTAATTGAACGCATTTTGGTAAGTTCTTCATCGTGGTATCATGTCCTAATAACAGTAGCAATGCAATTAGCTTCTCCACAGTTGAACAGTCTTGTTTCACGATCCTGCGTTTGGTTATTGCCCATAGACTCTCAACTGGGTTGAGGTGTGGAGAGTTTCCAGGCGAATTTAGAGAGCATAGCCCACTCTCTTCGAGGAATGTCAGCATTTTTCTGGAAGTGTGACATGGAGCAAGATCTTGCTGGAAAATACTTTCTCCACCAGGAAACTCTCTATCCACAATTGGAAGGAAATGAATTGCCAGAATTGCTTTTTATTTGTCACTGTTCATCGTTCCCTAAACAGTAATAAGCCATCCAGGGCCTTTAGCAGCACAGCTAGCCCAAAACATCTTAGGTGGGTGTTTTGGCATTTACTGAATATACCCATCTCACTGCTACTCCATCTCACTACCACTGATTTGTACCTATGTACTTCAAAATGCGTCTCATCTGAAAATATGACTTTTCTCCATTCATCTGTCATCCATCTCTAATGATTGACTGCCATCCGCAGAAGTGTTTTCTTCACAGAAGTAGTCAATAATTGCTTCTTTACCGGCTTTCTGGCAGTTCTGCCAGCTTGAAGGATCCTTCGTTCAACAGTTGAAGAATCAACATTTACCCCAGCTGAAGTCAAATCTCTATAGATGTTTGCTGGTTTTCTTGAGATCCTTCACACCATTTCTTATGATAACCTTGGCATTATGAGATGTTGCCTTGCGCTTTCTTCCACAATCTTCAGTGTCTTCAGGCTTTCACAGCTCTCCACAATCACCAGTGTCTTCAGGTCTCTTCAGAATCCGACCTACAGTTGACTTTCCAAGGCTCAAATTTTCGGCAATCTGTCTGATACTCAAATCAGGTCCGGTGGCCTGGTGGCTAAAGCTCCCGGTTCACATGCGGAGGGCCCAGGCTCGATTCCCAGCGGGTGGAAACATTTCGACACGTTTCCTTACACCTGTTGTCCTGTTAACCTAGCAGCAAATAGGTACCTAAGTGTTAGTCGACTGGTGCGGGTCGCATCCTGGGGGACAAGATTAAGGACCCCAATGGAAATAAGTTACAGTCCTCGATGACGCACTGACTTTCTTGTCTTATCCTGGGTGGCTAACCCTCCGGGGTTAAAAGTCCGAACGAAATCTTATCTTATCAGTAGGGTTCTTGTTCCTTAATACTTGCCTGATGAAGATAGAACCAGGAACCCTCCTCCACCTCCAGTATCATCGGCTGCCCACGGCTGTATACGCAGTATATTTTTATGTTCTTATTTTGACTTTACTAATTACAATTCTTTCGCGGCCAAATGAATTGTACATAGATGCACGAGAGATCAATCAATGTGACACAATAAGAATAGGGCTGTATCCTGTGAATGGAATGAAGCCTTAGTATTTCGTAGACACCTCAAACATTATTTCCTGACTCATCCAAAACAGTGAAAAAGTAAAGTACAAGATATGCAAATATACACAAGCATCAAGCAAGAGGTATGGAACTACCCGAGATGTTGCAGACTAGTTCTGATCCATAGAAGGAGCACAACATCCAGTCACCTCCATAAACTGAAGATAGACACCCTTGGTATGGTAGGCCTGAGTCCTAACCGGAGGCTCAGGTCCACCATGCCAGACGGTGTAATGTAGTTGAACAAGCAAACCTGAGCGAACCATTTTACGATGTGATGAACCAAGTTGGAGTCTCGGTGGTGACGAATTGGCAAAGAAGGAACAGTTCACAGAATAACATAGTACCACACAAATATATGCAGCACCACTAGTGTTATGCTGGCAGTTGTGTTAGTGTAGCAACACTAGCATTATGTCTGGCAGTTGTGTTATTGTAGCAACACTAGTGTTACGTCTGGCAGTGGTGATGGAAATGTTGCACTAACTTTACTGCAGTCTCGTTGTAATCCCACGTGACCCTTGGAGGACAGAATATCCTCTTTGATCCCCTTCAAAAGACGAAGAATTTATGGAAGTGGTGGTTTATTTGTCCAAACAAATGTGACAATTCTTTTGAGGTGGATTTTTGCTATATGGTGAACACGCTCTGTCGACTGGTGTGGGTCGCATCCTGGGGGACAAGATTAAAGACCCGAATGGAAATAAGTTAGACAGTCCTCGATGACGCACTGACTTTCTTGGGTTATCCTGAGTGGCTAATCCTCCGGGGTTAAAAATCCGAAGAAAATCTTATCTTAACTTTTGGTCATTTGATCGAGACCTTCCACTGGCTTCCCGGTAGATGACTTTGAAAATTAAATACCACATTATTAAATGTAATAGGTTTTCTGTTCATTAAAATACAACTGAATTTACATACTGCAATCTTAAGTGTTAGAAGTTAGAGAATCGTGTATAATACACATTCTTAGAATCTTAGTTTTAAGGAGCATCAGGATCCTGTATAACACAAAACAGTAGAATCTTGAGCATTTAAAGTAACTGGATTCTGTTATACACGGAACACTAAAATTCCAGCATTTATGTAAACTCGTATCTTGTTTCAGCGACTTTTATCTGTCGGTATTTTTTCCATTTCCAGTAGTTGTCCAGTACTGTTTAATCTGCTTATTATCATTTTTTTTTCATTCAAACTAGTCTGTATAACTTCTAATAAATTAATTCCTTATATTCATTACGACAAAATTAACACAGGCAAAAAGTGGATACAATATGCTAATTTCTTGTAATAATTATGCTAATTAGATGTAAAATTTTAGGTGCTTCTACAGAGCCGATAATGTAAAATAAATGTATGCAATAATTAAATCTATTGGTTTACCTGAATATTTTTTGATGGGCTTATTATTATCTGACTTCCAGGTAATGAGTGATGTTTATAGATGAAGTTGTTGAAGATGGTATAAAATATGAAGTTGTCGAGTGTGACACATGTACCACAGTTGGTATCTTTATTGTTGTAACGTTTCACCTACACTGTAGGTTCTTCAGTCAAATACTGAGTCAGCAGGAGTAGCAGCGAAGTAAAGATGATATAATCAGTCAATCAGCATTGGAGAAAATAGTATTGGAGGTGGTCAGTCCCTCAGCCTGGAGGAGAGCTCAGCTCAAAGGAACTGAACTAGAATCTGTACGACAGTAGCGTCCTCTGAAGACACAGTGAACCTCCAAGCTGATATAAGCCAAGTCTTCCAGTGGGCCACTGAAAACAATATTATGTTCAGTGAAGGCAAGTTTCAGCTAATATGTCATGGAAGAACGGAGGCAATCAAAGTAAGAGCAAAGTACAAGACAAACTGAAACCACTCACTAGAACCTAAGTCAAATGTGAGAGACCCGGGAGTGATAATGTCAGACGATCTCACGTTCAAGGAACATAACAGTGTTATTAACGTAACCGCAAAAAAAAATGACTGATTGGATAACTAGAACTTTCAAAATAATGGATGTCAAGGGCAGACGGTGCAGGATACCTTTAATGGAAAGCAGGGAAGAAAAACTTCCTGCAATTTTGTGTGTAAATAGTATACAACACCAACAAGATGAAAATTAGACACTTATGCAACATCTGGGTATCTTTAACATAGACGTTTCTCCATCCAGTGGCTTTATCAACACAAATTCTAGGACATAACTGGAAGACAGTATCCTTGGCTGAATTCTGTACCAATCCGAAAACCTCGATTGAAATTTTAGCAACATTGCTCTGTATTGAATTTACTGCGTGTAATCAAGGTCAGGTTACCCTAAAGCAGTGATAGTGATAATTTTTTTGTATGAAAGGGAGTAAATGGAGAAATACAGCAAGCCGAGGGTGTTAATGATGGAGAGAAAGTTGAGAATCCCTGACCTAAAAGATGATAGTGATGGACCCGCTGGTCATCAGAAATCTGGTGTCTCTGAAGCTAAATACCGACAAGTTAATCCCAAATAAGAAAGAACAAGAAATCGAACACCATTGCTTATTATCATGAGTTTTATTATTATTACGATCAAGGTGAAGCGCTAAACCCGTAGGATCATACAGCGCCTGTGGGGGGGGGATGGAAGGTATTCGAGCTTAATTCAGGGAACTGAACACAGATCTAGTTCCCTAGATCAAGAGCTCCTCACCAGAATCAAGGAACCTTCCTTGAAGGGTGTATACCACGAACGGAGAAGCATTTTATGATATATATAAAAGTACAGCGCTAATAACAAACTTCAATCACATAGGTGTGCTGTAGTTATACGAGCTTATGATTCATCATAACGACATGGAATTTTTCACAGTAGAGTCGAACAGTGAGACTGACCTGTCTCCAAGCAACTTTGACAAAACTGTGTTCATACCAGAAGCATACAATAGTTTTGGTCATGATGAGGCTAACCTTTCGTTAATGAAGAGAAGTTGTGATACTGTGACTGACAAAATCAGCTATTTCCTGTTTCATTCTCTTCATCTTGTTTAATTTTTGTCGTGAAGATTACGCCAATGGAATCAGTCCTAAGATTCTTGGAAGTGTGTCATCAATGGGTGGACGGAAGTAAAGGAGGATGAGGCTTCTGGAAGAATGGATTTTGCTGTAGCAATGAAGGGGTTTATTAGCTGAGATAATTTCACATTTGGAAGGGTTATGACCGAACCTCTTTCACTAACTTCGCCAGTTTGAAATCCTCTACTACTCATGTTTCACCTACTAGAGCGCCGTAATTAAATAATATATGAGTAGTGAATTGACTTATATATACAACAGAGCAGAGAAACTTGTGTTGTTGAATATATGAAAGAAAAATATTCTTACATTCTTTAATTTTTTTTTTATTATTCCAATCTCCTCGTCAATACATAATTTATTTTTTCAATAAATAAGAAGATATGTTATTATGATAAAGAAAAGAGTAAAAACATTATTGCATTTAAAAAGCTGTATTTTTATTTCTCAGAAACAGATTCTTTGGTTGGATTTTTTTACGGTAAAAGATTTTCCTTCAATTGGAAACTGAATAATTAGAATCAGTAAGACCACAGTAATTTTACTCCAGTTTAAACTTAAAATTAAATTTACATAAAAAAACGGAGCCATGATCTGCAACAATCAGCTGTGTGCATCATTGACAAGGATAACGGCAAACTGACTCTATGTCAAGATAAATGGGATATTGCCATCAGCAGGGAAGCGGTCGAGACATGAGTGATGGTGAGGACTTCTGCAAGGCAGCCACCACCCAGGACGAACATTTTTGTCAAAACCATTGACATGAGTAGAGTGTTGGAGGTGTTTGAGAACCTCCAAGCCCATGAGGTTTCTGGTGAAAAGTCCAGGATTGGCACACACTTTGACCCAGCGACCTGAGTACCATATAGTGGTGGGAATGTCAATATACTCGGCTGGGAGAAACTTCCGGCTCAGTTTTTTCCTACAGAAAATATCCAGATTGAAGGAAGGGCACATTATCTTCAAGAAAATATTTTTGTATTTGGTTATTGGAATACAGTTTTTAGCTTTTACTATAGGGGTAAGTTTCTGGTACCAAATTTTAAAGTCTTTGCACTCGATGAAAATATCATGGTCCGTGTCCCAAGGCAGATATGAACCGAATTTAATAGCACCCAAAACAGATCCCGACTGTAGTTCGTACTGCAGGTCGTACTTATCAGCAATGTCGGCTACCATATTTAGTTGTTCTTCAGCAATATTAATGCAACAAGGAGGGAGTAGAAAGGATCTGGTAATATTGAGAACGTTATCGCAATTAATGTTGATATTTTCGCATGTAAAGTTAAACAGAACTCCTCTGTAAGAAATCTTCTGGAGGACAAAGCGACGTGCCACGGGCAGCCAGCTTTCACGAGTCATGTTGACATGGTTACTGAGAAAGAACATGACGTCAGGACACACCATGACTAAGTGGCCTGCTTCACCTACCTTGATAAACCAGTCACGATACATAGCAGGGCCGCTAAGGTCACTGCTGAAGGTCACCTTCTTCATCAACTTGGTACTAGCCACAAATGGAGTTAACACGTCATCGCAGTACATACACTCAAATTTAGAATAATAATATCCCATTGTGTAGGTGGACTGGTAGAATGGCCATGCGTTGCTGCAAACAGCCATGGGTCCAGTGGCCCTGGATATCTCTTGCAGCACCTCCGGCCACCTCCACGTGATCCAGTTCATCCAGTACCCTTACCAGTCGCTCCAGGGACGACTGGTTGCTGAAGTGTACCAACGACGATCCGATGAATACATAAGGTGTTTTAACCTCCTTTATTAAATTATTAAGAATATTTGCATCTGTATTTTTATTCGTAGAATGTACAACTCTAACGTTCTGCAATTTTATTTCTGCTGCTAATCCTTGCTGCACCAAAGCAATAATAGGAATGTCATAGTATTTTCTGATCTGTGCAATTACAAAGTTGATGACTTCCTTAGGCCAGAACAGACCCGGGAGCACCGCAGTGATAACTTTGCTTAACGGTGGTACATAGGTGCAGTTATCAGGCTCCATACCGTGCTGGTGAAATGGATGATCGTATGATTTCCCAAAGTACACCTCAGGACACACATGCCTAGTGTTACTGCGAGCGGCTGGAGCAGGTTTCATGTCCGGAAGTCTGGCAGAATGATCCCAGTTGTTCTTGGCTGAGGTTACCCTTCTGGGGTCTAGTTCCTCTACAAGAGCTGCCAGTGTAAGAGCCCACTTGGCGTCCACTACAGCCTGAGTACCTGCCATGCAGATATATATAACAATTAAGATAAACGAGTATGTTCTTATACGTTAAACTAGTAAATAAATGCACATGTTATTAAAATAATTAAAACTCCTTGTAAATGTGTTCTCTTGAACTTTTACATCAAGTATTGCTTGAAAGGAAAAATAATGAAATCCAGTGTCATTCACTATACCTGCCAGGCGAGCTATCTGGCGCTGTACAGTGCCAATGGTGTCAGCAAGTCTTCTCTTGAGAGCTACTGGTAATGATCTGTGCTGAGGTGGTGTGAGAGGAGTGGAACATGGCGGACACTGGGCAGGGCAGCTCAGAGATTTTTCACCCAACTTTCTTTCTTGTGTCATGTCGTAGCCTTTCCAAGCAACCGCAAGTGCGTTTGGATGTGAAAAAAATATGAACAAAATTATTATATTAATGAACGTTTCTCGTTTCCGTGAATATTTAATACAGAAGATATTATCGTTGAAAATTATGCCGAAGTATATTACTATAAGCAACAGGTTTTGCCCCTTTTTAATAAGCGGATATTCTTAAGTATAATGTGACAGATTCTGCCTGCACTACATGATCCCCTCTGTCACACTACATGATCCCCTCTGTCACACTACATGATCCCCTCTGTCACACTACATGATCCTCTGTCACACTACTGTTCCCTCTGTCACACTACATGATCCCCTCTGTCACACTACATGATTCCCTCTGTCACACTACATGATTCCCTCTGTCACATTACATGATTCCCTCTGTCACACTACATGATCCCCTCTGTCACACTACATGATCCCCTCTGTCACACTACTGATCCCTCTGTCACACTACATGATCCCTCTGTCACACTACATGATCCCCTCTGTCACACTACATGATCCCCTCTGTCACACTACATGATCCCCTCTGTCACACTACATGATTCCCTCTGTCACACTACATGATCCCCTCTGTCACACTACATGATCCCCTCTGTCACACTACATGATCCCCTCTGTCACACTACATGATCCCCTCTGTCACACTACATGATCCCCTCTGTCACACTACATGATCCCCTCTGTCACACTACATGATCCCCTCTGTCACACTACATGATCCCCTCTGTCACACTACATGATCCCCTCTGTCACACTACATGATCCCCTCTGTCACACTACATGATCCCCTCTGTCACACTACATGATCCCTCTGTCACACTACATGATCCCCTCTGTCACACTACATGATCCCCTCTGTCACACTACATGATTCCCTCTGTCACACTACATGATTCCCTCTGTCACACTACATGATCCCCTCTGTCACACTACATGATCCCCTCTGTCACACTACATGATTCCCTCTGTCACACTACATGATTCCCTCTGTCACACTACATGATTCCCTCTGTCACACTACATGAGTCCCTCTGTCACACACATGATCCCTCTGTCACACTACATGATTCCCTCTGTCACACTACATGATTCCATCTGTCACATTACATGATTCCCTCTGTCACACTACATGATCCCCTCTGTCACACTACATGATCCCCTCTGTCACACTACATGATCCCCTCTGTCACACTACATGATCCCTTCTGTCACACTACATGATCCCCTCTGTCACACTACATGATCCCCTCTGTCACACTACATGATTCCCTCTGTCACACTACATGATCCCTCTGTCACACTACATGATCCCTCTGTCACACTACATGATCCCCTCTGTCACACTACATGATCCCCTCTGTCACACTACATGATCCCCTCTGTCACATACATGATCCCTCTGTCACACTACATGATCCCCTCTGTCACACTACATGATCCCCTCTGTCACACTACATGACCCCTCTGTCACACTCACATGATCCCCTCTGTCAACTACATGATCCCCTCTGTCACACTACATGATCCCCTCTGTCACACTACATGATCCCCTCTGTCACACTACATGATCCCCTCTGTCACACTACATGATCCCCTCTGTCACACTACATGATCCCCTCTGTCACACTACATGATTCCCTCTGTCACACTACATGATTCCCTCTGTCACACTACATGACCCCTCTGTCACACTACATGATCCCCTCTGTCACACTACATGATCCCTCTGTCACATTACATGATTCCCTCTGTCACACTACATGATCCCCTCTGTCACACACATGATTCCCTCTGTCACACTACATGATTCCCCTCTGTCACACTACATGATCCCCTCTGTCACACTACATGATCCCCTCTGTCACACTACATGATTCCCTCTGTCACATTACATGATTCCCTCTGTCACACTACATGATTCCCTCTGTCACACTACATGATCCCCTCTGTCACACTACATGATTCCCTCTGTCACTTACTGATTCCCTCTGTCACACTACATGATTCCCTCTGTCACACACATGATCCCCTCTGTCACAATACATGATTCCCTCTGTCACACTACATGATCCCTCTGTCACACTACAGTGATTCCCTCTGTCACACTACATGATCCCCTCTGTCACACTACATGATTCCCTCTGTCACACTACATGATTCCCTCTGTCACACTACATGATTCCCTCTGTCACACTACATGATTCCCTCTGTCACACTACATTACCGCCTCTGTCACACTACATGACCGCCTCTGTCACACTACATGACCGCCTCTGTCACACCACATGACCGCCTCTGTCACACCACATGACCGCCTCTGTCACACTACATGACCGCCTCTGTCACACCACATGACCGCCTCTGTCATACTACATGACAGCCTCTGTCACACTACATGACCGTCTCTGTCATACTACATGACCGCCTCTGTCACACTACATGACCGCCTCTGCCACACCACATTACCGCCTCTGTCATACTACATGACCGCCTCTGTCACACTACATGACCGCCTCTGTCACACCACATGACCGCCTCTGTCTACTACATGACCGCCTCTGTCACACTACATGACCGCCTCTGTCACACCACATGACCGCCTCTGTCATACTACATGACCGCCTCTGTCACACCACATGACCGCCTCTGTCATACTACATGACCGCCTCTGTCACACTACATGACCGTCTCTGTCATACTACATGACCGCCTCTGTCACACCACATGACCGCCTCTGTCACACCACATGACCCCTCTGTCACACTACATGACCGCCTCTGTCCCACTACATGACCGCCTCTGTCACACCACATGACCGCCTCTGTCATACTACATGACCGCCTCTGTCACACTACATGACCGCCTCTGTCATACTACATGACCGCCTCTGTCACACCACATGACCGCCTCTGTCACTACTACATGACCGCCTCTGTCACACTACATGACCGCCTCTGTCACACCACATGACCGCCTCTGTCACACCACATGACCGCCTCTGTCATACTACATGGACCGTCCTCTGTCACACACGATGACGCCTCTGTACCATACTACATGACTGCCTCTGTCACACACATGACGCCTCTGTCATACTACATTGACGCCTCTGTACACTACATGACCGTCTCTGTCATACTAACATGACCGTCTTGTCATTAACTACATGACCGCCTCTGTTACACTACATGACCGCCTCTGTTACACCACATGACGCTCTGTCACACCACATGACCGCCTTCTTGACTACATGACGACTCTGTCACACACATAACCGCCTCTGATCACACCACATGACCGCGTCTGTCCACTACATGATCCCTCTGTCCCACTTACATGACGCCTCTGTCAGACCACATGACCGCCTCTGTCACACTACATGATCCCTCTGTACCCACTACATGACCGCCTCTGTCATCACCACATGACGCCTCTGTCACATACATGATCCCCTCTGTTCCCACTACATGACCGTCTCTGTCGACACCACATGACCGCCTCTGTCACACTACATGACCGCCTCTGTCACATCTATCATGACCGCTCTGTACACATACATGACGCCTCTGTCACACTACATGACCGCCGCTTCACCTACAATGACCCCCTTGTTACCTAGATGACAGCTCTGTTACACCACATGACGCCTTCTGTCAACCATAACGCCTCTGTCACACTACATGATCCTCTGTCCACTACATGACGCCTCTGTCACACCACATGACCGCTCTGTCACACCACATTAACCGCCTCATGGTCACACTACATGATCTCTCTGTCCACTTACATGACCGCCTCTGTAACCCATGACCGCTCTTGTCACAACACATGACCGACCTCTGTCACACACATGACGCGCTCTAGTCACACCTATAACGCCTCTGTCCACTACATGACTCTCTGTCCACTGACATGACGCTTGTCACTACATGACCGCCTCTGTCACGACTTGATCACAGCGGAATCTAACATCCTCTAAAAAAAATATTACATTTAAATATGTGAATATAATTACCCTATAACTGAATTGGTTGAGGACTGTAGTTGATAAGAGTCAAAGGATTAACTGAATGACATTCTGTAGGTAAGGGAAGAATATGAACCCCACACAGTTACTTGAGCAAAAGTACAATTGTCATCAAAAACACTAATATCACAATACCGGTCATCCATTAGACACTAGGTTGGCAATGATTTAATTTTAGGGGCAGAAATTTAATCTTATTTTGGGAGCATGTTGTATGAGAAAATTGACTCTGTCATATCAGCTACACAAAAGACTAACTCCAGTGAATAAGACTGCATCTTGTGCCTATTTATCACAGTTTTCCTGTATATAGATCTTCCTTGGACAGAGACAAAGATGACATTCAGTATTCATCATTATATATTATTTGGGCTCTAATAGACTAAATGTTACGTTTTATATTTAAACGATTTGTATTACTCGTCAGGAGACAGAACAAGTGTCTCCTGACACTTTGTTAAATGGATCATATAGATGATCCATTTAACTAAATTAGATAATGTATTGATAAGGATAGGTTATATAACATTTGCCAGGAAACAGGATAATTATTTCCTTATGCGGGTAGGTATAATGTTTGTCAGGAAACAGGACAAATGTGTCCTGACGCGGGTCATAGTCTTGCGATAACCCCCAGCTGGAGCTTTTGATCATCTGACAGAGGACTTCCGCTGGCTTACCGGTCCATCTCTATAAAAATAATGGTTATGACTTTAAGCATTAAGCTGTGTTAAGACTAATCCCCTTTAATACATTAGGTTAGGTTAGGTAAGATTCGTCAGGAAACAGGACAAATGTTTCCTGACGCGGGTCTTAGATGATGACTCGACGTTGGAGCTTTTGGTCATCTGACCGAGGCCTTCCGCTAGCTTACCGCTCCACCCCTTTAAAAATATAAGAATGCAAATGATATAAGAATACAAATGATCTCTAAATATCTTATATAGAAGATGT